TAGGATACGATAGCCAAACACCAACTAAGCGCTGTACTGAGTGAGTGTAACCACGCGGTGACCCATGCCACGCTCTCGCTCAGGACAGAAACGTTTCGGTATAGAAAATGCGCGCGTCATTTGAAAAAAATTTTGGTCACAACTGCGATGGTAGTATGTCCCGACGGTTGTAAGGTCAGAGTAGGTCGTAAGTGCGGATTGACGTAAGTTGAGTCAGTCGTAAATCGGGGACTACCTGTATATACATACATACAAACATACATTGGTCCCTCGGTTAACGAACGCCTCGGTTAACGAATTACAGTGAGTTCTGCTATAACGCGTGTTTTGATAATGCGAATTTGCTCTAACACGATTTATGAATTCGGAACAATATTTGTATAACGCGAACGCTTGTTTGCTATAACGTGATTTTTGCTTACTATTTCTCCAATTTTGTGGTATTAACTGTGAATATGGTAAAGAAGAATATCTCCAAAAAGCGTTCTGGTGATAGAATTCCCGGTGATTATCGTAAAAGAAAGGATATAACACTTGAAGAGAAGCTCAATGTTATCAACCTCAAAATCACTCTTCTCCCCCATCAAGTTATATTCATATTTTTTCAAGGTAAAGTGTTACATTTACTGTATGATTTCATTATTAGATATGAATGTAACATTTATTTAGACTGTGCTATCCTTTGTGTTAGGCTAACTACTAAATTTTTTTGATTTCGAGTAATCTGCACCTAACCCTATTTTCTCCATAAGCCCTGTTATTTATATTACGCGATTTTCTATAACACGATATTTTACAAGAACACAATTATCGCGTTATAGCAGAACTACCTGTACCTTCCATAAGAATCTTCAATTCGGTTAACGAACAAAAATTCGGTTAAGGAAATTCTTACGAAAACATGTCAACATGTTTTAGCTTGCTCACCTGTTTTAGCTTGCTCACCAGCTGGAAGATTAGTCCGCCAATACAGTAATCGGTTCTAGGGGATTATATTCGGTTCCATTGGAGTAAATATCAAGAAGATTGTGTTATTCAATATTGTTCCAAGTTTTATATTAAAATTATTAGTCATTTTAACACTTATTTAACATAATTGCAGTACAGGGAACTAGTTTTTGGTGCGCCCATCAGCCACTTCACTTACCCACCAAGGCATCAGTCTGTGTGTCTGTTCAGTGGAGGAAACATCTTGCTTGTGGGTCTCTTGAACACAGAGTATTTTTACATTTTTACTGTACAATTATTGGTCATTCTGAAATTTATTTAACATACTGTATTGACAATTTATAGTGCAGTGCACTGTTGATTTAAAGAAAATAATCTTGAATTACACCTAGTGAACTTAAAATTTTATTGGTGAAATGACGGCATCAAGCATGGGGTGATTTCTCTTCCATCCCCACTTCCTTCTCTTCTCCCTTCTCCTCCACCCCCACTTATAATTCCCATCATCATTATCAACCAGGAGCCTTCTACATACACACCTCAAAGTAAGTGTACTTTACTGCAGTTTTTTTTTACTTTGTATGTACTTTTCGGTGAGCTGGAACCAATTACCCAATATTCCATTGAAACAATGGATTCGGTTAACGAACGACCTTCTGGAATGAAGAATATTTGTAGGTTGCTACTCAGTGTTGAATTTTCACCAATAAATGCAACATGAGGTATTCTTCCCTTGATTGGTTTTTCGACATAGCCTACAGCAACGCCTTGCACACCATGGAGATCGAGGAGGACAAACTATTCCTTCAACAGCAACGAAAACTAGGACGACCTGGTTGCATGGGATCAGTCGATTGCAACCTTGCAAAGAAGGAGGCAAGAAAGGATGATCGATTATTGCAAGCAACAAAACGGCGACTTGTTCAAAAAGAAAAGACCAAAATGTGGAAGGAAAGGATTGATCTGGTTTCATCATCTTCTAGCAGTGCGGAAATCTCGGAGGATGAAGAATCACCAGGACCAACAACTTTGCCGCCATCACCTTCAAAGCATCCACGGAAGCTAGTAGTCAACCAACATGTCTGTGCAGCCCTCGATTGGACCAAAGTCACTGACCGAAACTCCATGTATATCTTGGCAGCTATGGCTCGGAATATGGGCCAAGAAGTCTCTAATTTAACTATCAGTCGATCCTCAATTCGCCGCCATCGAATCCAGCACCGTGAGAACATCGCAGCCATCATCAAAGAGAAGTTCTCCCCTATGGCGCCACTTGTCATCCATTGGGATGGCAAAATGATGAATGACATCATTGGCTGGGATGGCGTAGACCGTCTCCCAATCCTGGTTTCAGGAGGCAATGCAACCCAACTCCTCGGCATCCCGAAACTACTGTCTGGCACCAGAAAGTCTATGGCAGATATTTTCAAAAAAGCTATTGAAGAATGTTCGGTGAAAAACAATGTTGTGGCGATGTGTTTTGACACAACAGCCACAAATACGGGTGGAATGAATGGAGCCTGTAATCTGTTGGAGCAGAAAATGGAGAAGGAACTCTTACATCTTGCCAGACGACATCACACACTTGAAATTGTTTTGGAAGCAGCCTTCCATGCAGTGGTGGGTATATCGACAGGTCCAGATATTCTAATGTTTAAACGTTAAAAGCAGAAATGGGGTTTAATTGACAAAAGCATCCCCTCTACGGTGATGGACACACATCCAGGTCCTTGGTTGCTAGAAATTGGGGACGAGATTATCAAGTTTGTGACAGAACAACTTATAATTCACCAGCCCAGGGACGACTACCGAGAGCTCCTGGAGCTATCGATCATCTTCCTTGGTGGGGTTCCTCCTCGTGGTATCGGTTTCAAGGCACCAGGAGGCCTCCATCGCGCTTGGTGGATAGCTAAAGCCATCTATTATATGAAACTCTGGATGTTCCGGGCTCAGTTCAAGCTGACTCCACGGGAGGAGCTAGGTCTAAAAGCGATTTGTGATTTCATCATCAAGATATATCTTAAGGCTTGGTATATCTCTCCTGTGCCCCAGCTCGCTCCTGTACAAAACCTCTGGCTGTTGAAGGAGCTCCAGCGATACCACAGTATCCATCCAAAGATTTCGGCAGTGACTCTCAAGAAATTTCAAGGTCATCTCTGGTACTTAAGTGAGCACCTTGTTCCTTTGGAACTATTCGATGACTTGGGATCAATCACTCTGGAAGACAAAAGGGCGATGGCACAGAGGATGCTCCGTACAACAGATGAGGTGGATCCAATGATGAGGGCTGTCGTGGACTTATCTGCCATTCAAGAGAAAAATATCAGTTCTTTCTTTAACGGACAATCCAAGGCATTCTTTCGAATTTTGGGTCGAGATGATATAGATAGATTTTCTATGCAGTGTATTATCTAAGCATTTCCGACTTACGACCATTTCGACTTACTACCTGGATTTGGGTCCCTAACCCCGTTGTAAGTCGGGAAGGAGCTGTAGTTGCTTGACTTATCTCCCTCTCGGTATTGTTCATCTTCAACGACACCTTTACGTGAACATGTGGTGTTTACATTTGATTCTACTCTTTATAAAATGGTCATTATTGTCTGTTGCTTTATATGTTTAGTATCATTTGTCTTTGATATATATAATAATTAGTGAAAAGAGAAGAAGTAAATGTGTTCTAGTAGAGCGGGAATTTTGTACAGCATGAATCTGTTTTACCCAGAAAAAACCTAGAATGTTTTGGTAGGGTTTCACTGAATAACGTCCTTCTCACATCTGACCCAGGTTGAGAATTGAACCTGGGTCACAATAGAGGCATACACAACATCGTTTCCAAACACTGGTACAATTACAGACATAATTCCCTTGACAGTTAGCAGTATCTGGCACGCAAATACCCTGTACAGTGATATTTCCGTTAGCTGGAGTGGACTTGAGGGTACACTCCACATTTTTTTTATACTGTACATTTGTTTCTGATTATTTGTGAGAGGATTTTCCCACTATTATTTATTTGTATGGGTTTTGTGTATGTGTGTCTACACACACACACACACACACACAATACAGGTAAAAGAAATAATTGTCCTAAGGGCAAAACACATAAAGGAAATGTTTATTTCTTTGTACACAAGTAAAAATGTATGCTCCTCCATTTTGAGAACCTAACCCCAACGAATTTGAAGAGCATGCTGTATAACTAAAAACCTTGTCTGCATACTGAAAACAATACCTGTACAATATTTACTACATGATGGACTTGGCTCCTTAGACTAATTAGCAGTGTCCAGCTTATTGAAAAATGTCATTTGTTAGTTTGGGTCATAGGATTAAACCATTTATTAAAATTATAGTAAACTAACCTAACAGTCATAGGTTATCTGTTACCGGTAGTTATTGTAGGTTATGATGGTTACAAGTGTTCCCCGAAGAATGCAGTGATGGGTAGGGAAACACCGGGTAACACTGAAGTCCGTTTATTATGGATGAGAGAAATACAAGTGGTGACTAGCGTGTGCCATGCACGGCTCACACAGTCAGACTGAGGCTGCCTTGCCATATGGCAGCCTCGGGGCAATGTTGCCACATAACCCGTGCAGTGTTGCCACGTAATTATATATATAAATGCTACTCGGCACAGTAGCTTATTTACAAGGTTGCTACTTGGCACAGTAGCATAGATACATAACCTACAGGTTAATTTGGTTTATGTAATCTTTCATCAATGGGGTAATGCTGTAGCTTTACATTCACAGGTGCCATTTGTCAACAAACCAGATGTTTCTAACTTCATGAAAACTTCCTGTGTCATCTGCTACTGTAATATGAAATAAGTTTTAGGAATTGGATAATAACTAATTTGGAAACACTATATTCTTAGACTTTGATTGGAAAAGTAAGTGTTATTGCTATCACTAAAACATTTGCTTATGCTTGTACAAGAGGAAACCAGAGGGCCAGGAGAAAGTACCCCCTGGTATGTGATGTTTGATAAGGTCACATACTGTACAGTTTGTAACAATAAATTCACCGATTCCCTTTTTCAACAGAATCCTGGAGTACGATTAATTTTGAGAGATCTCAAGACCAGACTACACTGCACACATGGTGAGTATAGTATGTTTAAGAACCTAAATTTTAAATACTATACTACTGTACAATATAATAAATATAGGCATTCCCCAAATTAACGACAAAAGGCTCCTTTCCTTAAAAGCCTTCTGTAGATTGTTTTTCATAAGTCAGATCACATTTTCCTTCAGGCTTCTATTATAAAAACTACAAAACATGTTTTTAATCATAATTTTTGATGTACACAAAGATTATAAGTGAAATACTGTACTGGTGCACGCAGTGGAAGACATGAAAGTTATAGTACAGTACTGTATGTACCGAGAAATTGCACTGCTGATTGTAATGGAGTGCAAAACTGTGAGTCACAGCCAAGACATATTGTTTTAATTTTGTAGTGACGCACCAACAGTAATTCAACTGCATTGTATGTACGTGTACAGGGAGTGTGTACATTTTTTAATATTTTATTTTCACTGTACAATACTGTACATGTACAGGGGGGGGGGAGATTTTGTTTTGTTACACTGATTTTTCTCATACAGTACAAATGTACTTTTATTTATGCTTACATTATTATGAAGATTTTTGTCAGCATAAAAAAATTGTAAAATCTTTAAAAAAAAATACATTAAGATTTCATATTTCGCGCGATTTCATTTCGCGTTTTTTAATTTCACGAGCACTACCTAATGTAACCAAGTCTTATATTTGGTGTAAAATATCGTGAGTTTTGCGAGATCCAGCCAACTGAATGCTGGCCACCGTCTTGAATGACGTCACAGCCCTCATGCCAGTTACAGTCATTTCTGCTACAACGCGTGTTTTGTCAACGCGAATTGGTTGTACAGTAATGCGATTGATGAATAGGGGAACATTGATTGTAAAACTCGAACTTTTACATACGAATGTTGGCTATAGCGCAATTCCATCCTCAATGTTTTGATTCCATCCTCAACGTTTTAAGCATGGCGCGGGGTTATGCAATGTTTACAGTTCACGTTCGACATCACATGTTCAAGTGATTCATGTCTTTAGGTTGTGAAGTGTTTTTTGAGAGACACTGTAAATTTTGTTCTTTTTTTTGCAAATTTAGCTGTTACCCATAAATACTGTATGAAAAGAATAAGTAAAAAGAATGTTTCGCAGTGAGGACTAATAACGGTTTACACCAGCGCTCCCTGTTTACATCACTTGATCAGTTGAATCACGCGGTTTCTGTCAATTACTCCGTGATTTTTGCTATTTTCTTCAATTTTGTTGTGTTAGCGATGAATACAGAAAGACAAGGTGAGAAGAATGTTTCCAAGAAGCGTTCTGGTGATCAAATTGCTGGTGGTGAACGTAAAAGAGGTTTACAAGAAGGCAACAATGGCGTTGTAGCCTGCGCCATCCTAGCGACCGCCCGGGCTGTTATTGTGTGCTTTTTTTTGGGTGGGGCTACCACCTGTCAAGTCAAGATAATGGCCTCTACCTCTACTGGGGGTCGTGCTGGTGGGGGAGGGACAGACCCACCTAAGCAGCCAAATAAGGAAAAGGAGAAGCAGGACTATCATAAGGGAGTTAAATTAGCCAAGTACTCGATGCAGGATAAGCAGCGTGTGATTAAGTTACTTGAGGAAGGCCTAAAATCTAGTTTCCGGAAAGCACAATCAGGTCAATAAAGGCAGAATTTGTATCATTTGGAGGTTATAAATGGGAAAATCAGAGGTTGAAGTAGAGTGGCCAGTCTATCTTGTTATTTTTTCCATTAGTTTACGTATCTGCATTTGGTGCAATTTATCCAGTCCATATTACTCGTGAAATACAAGATTTTACTGTACAGTCGGCCCTTCACATACGCGGGTTTAGCATTCACGGATTTGCAAATACGCGGATTGCCCCGCCGGAGGAATATTCTGAACATTGAAGTACATTCAAATCGCGCGCCATTCAACTCGCGCACGGCACCGAACACGGGACACCGCCCGCTCCCGCAACCTCACACACACACACACACGCATAGCTCTCCCTCACTCAGTCAGTCTCGCTGTAACCACGCTTGTGTTGACATCAGCATTGTAGTTGCAAAAATATTACATTTCCGTGAATGTATTATATCAAGCACAGTATGAATAGAATATCACTAATATAACAGTATTTTAACCGAAAACTACTAAAAAAACGAGTAACATATCTTGAACATCGGAAGGTTAGGTAAAGTCTCTTGTTTTCGTCATGTATTTTATCCTATTTTACATTGAAATACATCACGTTTCAGCAAGACTACTATTTCTTTCTGAGAATATATTCATTCAGGCACAGTTTAGGTAAAATATACATGTGCTGTAACATTTTTTTATTGAAAAAGATTCAAAAAACACGTACCCTCTAGCCCTGTTCAAGGAGAAGACTGGGAGGAGCTGTTTGGTGCTTAAGACGATGACAAGGAAAATGATTTTGATGGATTTTAATGAAAATATTCTAAAAGACCCTGGCACTGTCAAGGAAAGTGGCTGCTGAAGGCTTCCGGGACATGGCAGAGGACGAGATTAGGGAGCTAATTGAAGAGCACGACACTGAGCTGACCGAGGAGGATCTACAGGAGTTAGTAGACTCAGGCAAGGAAGAGGAAGCGAAAGGGAAAGAGGATGAGGAAGAGGAAGAGCACCAAGAAATAACGTTGGAGAAGTTGGGGGAGATGACCAGGAATATTGAGGTACTGAAAAACCTGGCCTATAGTTTGTACCCCTCCATGGTGCGTGCCCTGAAATTCATGCGAGGGATGGATGATGTTTTCGCTCCATACAAAAACATCATGGAAGAAATGAATGAAAGAGACGACAACTCCCCATCACCATGTTCTTTGATCACCGAAGGAGAGATTTAACACCAATCACTGGCGGCAGTGAGGAAGCAGCTGAATCCACCGTTGTCCCCACTTCACCACCCGTTACGGAATTGAGAGACGATGAGCCCGATGACCCCCGTCCTGTCGCCGAGGATAGGAACTGTACAGTAAAGTGAAGTTTTATCTCTTTTTTTTTAATAGCTTTTCTTGCCATGTTTATTGTTTGTAAAAATGCACAGCACAGTACAGTTCAGTACTGTACATAGGAAGTGGAGGTGCAGTAATTCACAAAACATTTGTGTTTGTTGTCGGCAGAAGTGACGGTGGAGGTGGAGGAGGCGGAGGGAGCGAGCGAGTTGGGAGGAGTGGTGACCTTGGACGCGGGAGCAGGGACGAGATGCGAGCCAGTACATTACGGGTGTATTAATTGTTTTTATAGCTATTTTTGCATTTTAATATTAAATACTGTACATTACGTTTCAACAAAACTACCATTTATTTATGAGAACATGGAAATGTAATATTTTTGCTGAAATGATGTACGTATTACAGTGGAAAGTGACGAAAGCAATGACTCGCTTTCTTTCGTTCAAAAGATGTTACCGTAATCGCTTTTCGAATGGTTTTCAGTTGTGGGATTATAAGACTAATGATAGGATAGAATATTATTGTAATACAGTACGAGTACAACAGTTTTTTAACTAAAAACCATTCAAAAAGCGATTACGGTAACATCTTTTGAATAACGAAAGAAAGCGAGTCATTGTTTTCGTCATAACTTTATCTCACTTTCCACTGTAATATGTTCGTCATTCCAGCAAAAATATTACATTTCTATATTTATTTCTGAGAATACGTATATTCATTCAGTCACAGTTAAGGTAAAATATACTTGTGATGTAATATTTTAATGAAAATACGGTATCATAGTTTTCTTTTGTTTCAAATTTAATTAACAAAGATTGATGTTTCAAATGTAATGAACAAAAATTTATGTACAGTATCTATAAATAAACTTTAATAAATGAATACTTTATGTTTTACATCGTCCTGTGCTACCATACCATGGATTTGGCTACTTTGGGCTTGCTATGATGATGCAAGAGATCTGCCCTGGCAACTGTACCGACACTCACAGCTGGTGGTGCGTTGGTGCATCGTTTCCATTGTTTACTGGTAGTTACTGGTAAATATTTTTCAACCTAACGAAACTATTACCCGTTTAGAGGTTGACCCCCAATTTTTTGCCAAATAATTTGGTCTTAAAAACTTGAACTACACACAGGTATATACGGTAAATAAGGACATGGGGGGCCAGGGTTTTTTGGGGGGAAGGGCAGCACATATACGTGGATTTTTAACATCCACGGGTATCTCTGTTACGTAACCCCCGCGTATGTTAAGGGCCGACTATGTATATGTATATGTATATGTGTATATATATATATATATATATATATATATATATATATATATATATATATATATATATATATATATATATATATATATATATATATATATATATATATATATACAGTGGTCCCTCGGTTAACGAGATTTCGGTTATCGAGTTACCTCCCATAAGATTCTAAACTTCGGTTAACGAGCAATCCCCCGATTAACGAGTTTCTTACAAGCCGACCTCAACATGTTTTCACTTGCACTTGGCAGTCAACTAGTTGTAGCATTAGTCCGCCAATACAGTAATCGGTTCTAGGGCTTAAATTCCTTACTATTTTAGTAAATATCAAGAAGTTTATACTATTCAATAATTTTAAAAGTTTAATATTACATTTTTTAGTCATTTTAACAGTTATTGGACATAATTGAAGGTAAGGTCACTAGTTTCTGACTCACCATCCATCCTTTTAACACACCAAACAAGCGTTAGTCTCTCTGTTTTCAGTGGAGGTAACATCTTGCTTGGGACTCTCTTCAACTAAATGCTTTTTTTCTGTAATTCCAAGCAAATTATTGGTCATTTTGAAATTTATTTTACATATTGGCAATATATAGCGCAGTGCAGTGTTATTTTAAATAAATATTCTTTATTTACAGCTACAGTTGTTTAAACTTAAAAGATCACGTGTTGACATTGTTTGAATCCAGCATGGGGCCTAAGAGATCAAGAAAAGCGATTTCGATCCAAACCAAGCAGGAAATTATTAAGAAACATGAAGAAGGCATTAGAACAAATGCACTATGCACAGAATATGGCATGTCGACATCAACTGTGCAGACAATTCTTGCACAGAAAGACAAATTTAAAGAAGTGAAAGTGAGAGACAAATCTACCAAAGTGTTTAAAAGTAGATCCCTAATTGCAAAAACTGAAAGGATACTTCTCATCTGGATTAGGGAAAAACAGATGAAAAGTGATTCAGTTTCTACTGAATTCATTTGTGAAAGAGCCAGGGAAATTTACGAACATTTAAAGACAGATCAACCTGGTTCTTCAGGCACAGAATTTGAAGATTTTCGGGCCAGCAAAGGCTGGTTCGAAAAATTTAAGAAAAGAAGTGACATTTTCAGTGTTATTGGTCATGGTGAGGCTGCTAGTGCTGATAAGGAAGGGGCAGCAAAGTTTTTAGTGGAATTTAAAGAACTGATGGAAGAAGAAAATTATCTTCCACAGCAAGTGTTCAATGTGGACGAAACTGGGCTGTTCTGGAAAAAGATGCCCAAAAGAACATTCATCACCAAACATGAAGCCTCTTTACCTGGGCATAAACCCATGAAAGACCGTCTCACTCTATTGCTTGGTGCCAATGCTTCAGGGGATTTCCGACTGAAGTCTATGCTTGTCTACCACTCTGAAAACCCCAGGGTGTTCAAGCAACAGAAAGTGGTAAGAACAAAGCTTGGAGTTTATTGGAAGTCCAACCGTAAGGCATGGGTGACAAGACAGCTCTTTAATGAATGGGCTGTTGAGGTGTTTTGCCCTTCTGTCAAGAGCTACCTAACCACCAATAAACTCCCTTTAAAGGCTCTTCTCATGGATAATGCTCCTGGTCATGACCCTGAACTTGCCAGAACTTTGGAGTATCAATTTGACTTTGTGAAAGTGTTGTTTTTGCCTCCCAACACTACATCAATCATACAGCCAATGGACCAGAATGTGATCAGCAACTTCAAGAAGTTGTACATGAAGAAAATGTTTAGGAGGTGTCATCAGGCAACTTCCAATGATCCTGAACTAACACTGAAACAGTTCTGGAAGACACAATTCAACATCCTGGAGGCTGTAAAATTGATTGTGTCATCATGGCAAGAAGTCTCCACTAGATCCCTCAATTCTTCATGGAAAGCACTGTGGCCATCAGTAGTCCATGATTTTGAGGGACTTGAGGAAGAAACAGAGTTGGACCAGGAGATTGTGTCCATTGGTCAGTCATTGGGCCTTGAAGTGGAAGAGGATGATGTCGAAGAGCTTGTGATGTCTCATGAGGAGGAACTTACTCCTGATGACTTGAAGCAACTGGATGAGATGTTAGAGGCTGACAGTGGTGAGGAGGAAATGGAAAGTGATGACCATATGTCAACTTCAGAGTTGAAAGATGTGATTTACCACTGGGAGAAGTTCAGGGAACTGGCTTCAAAGCACCCAGAAGTGGAAAAAACTGAACTAACTTTGTGTCATGTTGAGGACTCAGTGGTCTCCTTCTTTAAACATAAGTTAATGGTGAGGAGGACAGATGCCCCACAGACCACAATTGACACTTTCTTCAGTAAAAGGCAGAGGGAACAAGATGCTAGCCATCAGCCTTCCACTTCAAGAAGGAGAGAGGATGTTCATGGTGGAGAATCTGTCAGTCCAGAGGTTCCTGACATTTTCATGGAAGGTGACTCACCTTCCAAGAAGCAGTAAAATGTTTCTCCTCCACCTCCACTTCCTTCTCTTCTCCCTTCAAATTCACATCATCATCATCATCCAGGAGCCTTCTACATACACACCTCAAAGTAAGTGTAATTTTCTACAGTTTTTGTTGAATTTAGGCAATTTTCGGTGAGCTGGAACCAATTACCCCAAAACCCATTGAAACAATGGTTTCGGTTAACGAGATTTTCGGTTAATGAGCAACCTGTTGGAACGGATTGTGCTCGTTAACCGAGGGACCACTGTACAGTCAGTTCTGCTATAACGCGATAGTTGTGTTCTTGTAAAACATCGTGTTATAGAAATTCGCGTAATAGAAATAACAGGGCTTAGGGAGAAAATAGGGTTAGGTGCAGATTACTACTCGAAATCGAAAAATTTTTAGTAGTTAGCCTAACACAAAGGTTAGCACAGTCTAAATAAATGTTACATTCAAATCTAATAATGAAATCATACAGTAAATGTAACACTTTACCGTGAAGAAATATGAACATAACTTGATGGGGGAGAAGGGTGATTTTGAGGTTGATAACATCGAGCTTCTCTTCAAGTGTTATAGCCTTTCTTTTACGATCATCACCGGGAATGCGATCAACAGAACGCTTCTTGGAGATATTCTTCTTTACCATATTCACAGTTAATACCACAAAATTGGAGAAATAGTAAGCAAAAATCGCGTTATAGCAAACAAGCGTTCGCGTTATACAAATATCGTTCCTCTATTTATAAATCGCGTTAGAGCCAATTCGCGTTGTCAAAACACGCGTTATAGCAGAACTCACTGTACAGTCGAAAAACAAAATATAAACTCAATAAAATGCTCAACTGCAC